AATTCCTGACTCAAAACTTGCGAGATATAACACAGTGGTTGCTTTAAGCCACTGAATTTTGGGATAGTTTGTTCTGTAGCAATAGATAACCAGAATACACTTCAAGTGTGGTCTTAGTAAATACAAAGCTGACTATGGTAAGGATGCAGAAAATGTCCTATTTGTTTATTTCTACTGGTGTAGTTTTAATTCTGTATGCATTTCTATGACGTGTTCCTAAAACACCTGAGTTTTGTTCAAGAATCATTCTCTACAAAGCAAGAGATCTTGGATGTTACCAAATGATACTGATTTGTTGGGGAAAAAGTATGAACAATAATAGTGACCATGTGGAAAAGGTGCCTGCGGGTAAAGTGAAGATAATATGTTCAGGAGACGGGAAATGTTTTGCTCTGAAGACAGCAATGGTTACTGCATATCTTGAAAATGAGAATTTATTCTACTCCAAAGTTTTCTTGCTGGTAGAAATTTGGACAAAACTGTGAGAAAGACTCTAACCATCTCTATGCAGGGCCAAGTAGGCAAAAAGTGACCTGCATGCTTATTATAGCAATGACCAGATTGCTATAGATTGCTTTTTAATTAATTAATTAACTATTGTGGTAAAAAACATATAAAATTTATAATCTTTACCATTTTTAAGTGTACAATTGAGTAGTGTACAAAATATTTCCATTGTTTTGAAACAGATCTCCAGAATCTTTTTATCTTGCAGAACTGAAACTCTATACCACTTAAACTATTCCCCTTTGCCCCCTCCCTTCAGCCCCAGTAGCTGCCATTTTACTTTCTGTATTTATGAATTTGACTACTTTAGATACCTCATATATGTGGAATTATATAGTATTTGTCCTTGTGACTACTTCACTCAGCATAATGTCCTCAAGGTTCATCTATGTTGTAGCATTTGACAAGATTTCCTTCTTTTTAAAGACTGCATAGGGCCGGCCCCGTGGCTTAGTGGTTGGGTGAGTGCGCTCCGCTGCTGGCGGCCTGGGTTCGGATCCCGGGTGTGCACCGGACCCACCGCTTCTCCGGCCATGCTGAGGCCGCGTCCCACATACAGCAACTAGAGGCTGTGCAACTATGACATACAGCTATCCGTTGGGGCTTTGAGGGGAAAAATAAATAAATAAAATCTTTAAAAAATAAATAAATAAATAAAGACAGCATAGTATTCCATTGTATGTATATACCACATTTTGTTTCTCCATTCATCTCTCAATGGACATTTGGGTTGCTTCCACCTCTTGGCTATTGTGAATAGTGCTGCTATGAACATGAGTGTCCAAATTTCTCTTTGAGACCTTGCTTTCACTTCTTTTGGATATATTCTCAGAAGTGGGTTTGGTGGAACATATGGAAGTTCTATTTTTAATTTTTTGAGGAACTGCCATACTGTTTTCCATAGTAGTTGCATCATTTTATAATCTCACCAACTATAGATTGTAGAACCTCAACTGTCATGAATATAATAAGATATTGCTTTAAGTACAATAGAGAATATCAACAGAAACAAAATCCAGACCATTGTAGTTCAGATACATCAATCAGGAGAGTTTAAATTGATACCTGTTATAAAACATTGACAATACACTCACTAATCCTTTTTTAATGGAAATATATAATTCAGAGGCCTTATTTTTAGACACTTTTATGTAATTAGGCTTATGTTTTGATTTACATTTTGGCTTTTGTTTAGAAAGATTTGGTTATAACATTTTGGACTATTTTAATAGCTCTTCTTTTGTGTTAAATTTTGAATGAAATATTTCAAATCTACAGAAAAGAATACAAAATAATATAACAAATGTCTTAGTACTTACAAGCCAGCTTGAACAAATCGTATTCTTGCCATATTTCTTTAGATATGTCCCCAGGAGTAGTGCAGTAGGGCAGGAAAAAAACCCTAACAAACATTTCCACTCCTGCTGACTGTGACAGCAAGCAAAAATGCATGAAATCAGAGAAAAGGAACTAGTAACTAAATGATCGTACTTGGCTACCTATTACTCTTCCTGTAGTTTAAGAGGAACACGGCCCAGTAGCTAAAATCAGGGACTCTGAAGTCAGATAGACCTGGATTCAAGTCCTGTGTTTGCTTCTTTCTAGTTGTGTGGCCTTGAGAAAGTTGCTTAACCTATCCTTGCCTCAGTTTCCTTATCTGAAAATGGAGATAATAATTCCCAAGGTTGCTGGGAGGATTAAAAGAGAAATGTGCACTCTCATGTATTTACTATACATAATGACTATACAGTTAGTGACACATAGTGAAGCTTCAACAAATATTAGTAATTACTGGTTGTGTTTATTGAGCACCTACTATACGCCAATCACTCTTCTGGTGCTGAGATCCAGCAGTGAACAGAAATAAAGACTCCTGTAGAGCTTACTTTCTAGTGACAAACAACAGTGTAATTTCAGATGGTGATAGGGACCATGAAGAAAAGATAAGATATTGGAAGGAGGTGCTACTTTAGACAGGAGACAGGAGGTCATAGGAGGCCTGTATGAAACCTTCAGAGGTGAAATTGAACTGAGCAGCAGAAGGAACCATTCATTGGAAGTTTGGGAGAAGAGTGTTGAAAGAGAGGGAATGGTATGTGCTTAGGCCCTGAGGCAAGAAAGCTTGGTTTGTACAAGAAGCAGAAATGACAGGATGACAGAAGCTCAGTATGTGAGGGGAAGGGAGCGTGGGTACTACGTCTGAGAGTTAGGACGAACAGGCCAAAAAGAGCCTTGTAGTAAGGAGCATAGTAAGGAGCTTGGACTTTATTCTTAAGGGACTGTGAAGACATCGGAGGGTTTTTATTGCTAGTAGGTACAGCACCCTTTGCTCCGAGGAGGACTTTGCGTGCTTTCCTGTGGGTCTGTTTTAAATTATGTGTATGTTTATGCTGCAGGAGTAACTTTTCTGAGATACCACATTGGTTACTCATGGGCTCCCCCTGGTGGAGTTGGTGGCTAAGCTTGCATAGTTTCAGTTGCGCAAAAACAAAGAAAATGAGCAATTTATCCCAAAGTAAATGAGCAATTTATCCTTTCGTTCAACAAACATTTATGGGGCGCCTACAATGCGCCAGGCTCTGTTGTGGTGCTGAAATACATCCATGAACAAAGCAAACAAACATCTGTGCCTTCATGGAGCTTAAATTCTGGGGGAGGCGCGGGGCGGGGGGGGG